CTCCTTCGGGTTTGGAATTATTTTAGTTAATACATTATGCAAACAACGTAAACATGTTTAATTGTATTCTATCAGAGTTTTGCTTTTCCTTGTTTATTTATCGATAGTCGGAGCAAATATCATCTTAAGGAGAGAGTCAACATGCGACATGAAATCTACTATGGATGTTAATTCAGGGTCGGTTCGAGGATTGGTTGTTGTTCTTCCAACTTCATGAGATTCTGTTCGCGTCATCGCGATGATGAACCATTCAAACTTGTCGGAACTTGAACACTTGAAATTCACTTTTACTATTGAAGATTTGACGGTATGTTAGGATTTTATTCAAAGCTCCAAAACACTTCTTAAAAGGCAAATGCACATTTGGGTAAAGTAGTAGGTATGCTTCTAATAGTCAAAAAAACTTATTGCACATTTTTAACAATATTTATTGAAGTTTTACTCACAGCCGACGCTATATGAGCATGTTTTGCTAAGTTTTAAACGTTCTTATAGAAGTAACATTTACATATAAAACGTGTGTTTTAAATTAAATATTTTTTTATTAATGAATATTGACAATAACTTAAGTTAATTATTTATTGTGATACTAACCCAATAGTTACTTTATAAATATTCTTATTTAAAAGTGATAAAAAGAATGTTGTTTAAATTTTAAATATGTTTATAAATAAAAAATAATTTAAAACTAATTTTAAGTCGATTTGCTCATCTACACTACAAGATTTATGACCCAAAATTCACTGTACAATCAATCCAATAAAATTGACCACTATACATTTTTGGTTATACCGTTGATTCTTATCATTTTTGCCTGTTTTGTTTGCTGCACAAACGCAGGCCATCGAATTGATGTCATAAATTTTGTGCAAATCACTTATGTGTGTACACTGAATCAGAAACAAAACTGAATTATCAGATAGCACTCTACATCCATACGTACAATAGAGCACTGCATTGGGAGGTAGGATGATGTTGTGTTTCATTTAGATAAAAATCAATTTTTTAGTCGATTCTGATAAAAATAGATGAAATGTGTGATTGAAAAGTATATAAAATTTGTGGATCCCGTAAAATATTTTAGTCGCATAATACCGCGTAAATTTCGTCTTCCTTCTAGATGCAAGTAACTTGTTTCTTATCTTCTCTACTTTTTATATGCTTTTGACCGAAGAAAAGATTTGATTATCATATAAAAAGACATCAATTGTTACACTTTTATGGTACATAACAAGTAAATTCTTAACTAGTAGAACTCTACATCTACTGTGTTGTCCAATATACCCAAAAATGAATTTGCGGATAAAGTGCGAGAGACGCATTGTTTTATTTAATCTTGTACAATATCACATAGATTTTGTCTACCTTTAGATGAACTTAACTTAGGGTCCGTTTGATTGAATAAAAAAATTTGATTACCATAAAAAACATTGAAGGGTTACACAAAGTTTTCCATATTAATCCATAATGCATTAGCAAGTAAATTCTTATCAAGTAGAACCCTAAATCCACTATGTTTTATAGTAGACCCCAAAAATGAATTTACGAACACTTTGTGTACGAGATAGCCCAATTTTGTGTTATAATATTCAACCATCTAAAAGTGATTACAAACAAAATATATCCAGACGTACATGAAATTTTTGTATCGATCAAGACACTCTATGGCACATGACAAGTAAACTCTTAGCCATAGAATCCGGTATTTATCACAAACGAGAGAACCCCTATAATGAATCTACGAACATTCTTACCTCCTTCACGTATATCGTTTTCTTATTTTCATAAAACTCTTATTTTAATGTGAACACAACAATTTTCTATTTAAATATTATCCGAGTGCATGGTATGAATACTACTTTTACCAATTCAAACTTCAAAATTCAACCCCTTTAATGTTCATAATTGTACCTTCTTTAATTAATTGAATCTTAATTAGGATAAAAAAATCATTTACTGGTGCATGCACATAAAAAAGTGAAAATCCTGCGTATAAAATCCTGCCACGTGTTCGCTTCCTGTCGTGGCACCATGTCGGAATGGATGAAACATGGCCCACTTCGAAACCTTAGCCAAAAACTTAAACCTCAATTTGTCAAATAATTGGTATTTGTTTAGCAAAAAAGTTAGGCAATCATTAACCAATTACAATGAGCCAGTGGTGCGGATGTCTGCAGTGATGGCGCTGTCAGTTTCCTCCGCCTCCTTGGATCCAACGTGTTGGATTTAGATGTTGACGAACGGTTCAATTATCGAACGAAAGAGAGAAGAGAACCAAAGTCTGAAAATTGCTTAAAATAGCTAAAGACGACAAGTTTTTTACCATTAGTTTATTACCCAACTTGGAAAGTTAACTTTATGTAATTATCAACTTTATTAAGAATATAAACACGCTTAAAACAGATAATTAACCCCACGTTAGAGGATAATATTCTAAATTATTTTTGTAAAGTTTCACTATGCAGCAGTTGGGTGGTTAATAATTGTGATTGATGTATGGATAATTTGTACTTACAACTGGATGATAAGGAATCTACGCTCAGACTGCATCAGATGATTAATTGAAGCGCATAATTGTACTGATAAGCTCTGACAAAGTGGATGTGGACCGGACGATGTTAAGGGACATGAACTATTGTCGCTTCTGTAAATAATGTACAAGATGTTAAATGTCGGCATGTAACTTAGGCACCGTTTGGTAACCATTATTCTTAAAAAAAATGCATTCTTTGTGTCAAATCATACTTTTTTTGTGGTTGAAAATGAAGGAAAAGTTATTGATATGATAGAAAATATTATTTTATTGAAAAATGTGTGGTTGAAAATGAGTAGAAGAATGAGAATGAAAAAAATAATGTGTACCAAATAAAGCATAAATATATCATTAGCACACATGCAANTGAGAATTAGATAAAAATGGGTGTTAAATAGGGCCTTAGTATCTACACTTGCTTGATTATTGTCATATCATAAATTTTCCGGCTAGAGTGGTCATAGTCCTATGACGATTAGGGATTGATTCGATCAAGCTTAATAAGAGTATGTTTGGTAGGGATTTTTGGGGGAAGAATTGATTTTTGAATAGTGATATGATGGAAAATGTGTGGTTGAAAAATAAGAAAAAAGTATTGATGTGATGGAAAATATTATTTTATTGAAGAATGTGTGGTTGAAAATGAGAATTGATTTACTGTAGAAAATGAGAATTTTTACCAAACAGGCTAATAATCATAATAAACTANAAATGGGAATTGATTTACTGTAGAAAATGAGAATCTGTACCAAATAGATTCTAAGTGAGCCGTTGAATGAGACTACATGTCAAGCATCTAGAGGTCATTTTTCACCTCTATATATTCAGCCTTCTCTTCTCAAATGTAAGTAAGTTCGCATAGCCTAAGTTTACTCTTGTGATTTCGACAAGTGTAAGGTCGAACTGATACTTATATTTTTGTTTATTGTGTCTCCTCCATATCCAATATTTTTCACCATATGACTTGAGCGTCGAAGTGCATACGATCATCGCATTTCATTGGAGATGTTGTTCTTGTGCAATCTAACGTGGTGTGTCCAACTATACACGTAACGTACATATGAATGGAAAATGAGTTGAGATACGTTGATGCAGGGTCTCGTCGGATTCGAGAGTCAACACAGAGCTTTCTAACAATGTCTGAATTTAAAAAGTTCAAATTAGCAATTAGATTTATTTAGAACTTACTTATATGGGCGATCTATTTCAAAATTGATGTTCTGGGGCGGATTTACAGTGAGTACAGTGTGGTCACCTGCCCCCCACAATTATTTAGTGAAATTTGCTCATACAAATCTTATCTTCTAGCTCCTCCCCTGTTCTCAAATGAATTACCATTTTGCAAGACACGTTAAAGATAAAATTGTATAAAGCTCTAAATAAGAAGTTGGTCTTCTAAGATGGAATTCTAACTCAATATACAACACTAAATAGCATAAAACAAGAAAAAAGACTAAAGATCTTGTCTATATCGTTCAGTCTTGTCAAATAATACACACTCACATTCTCTTTGAATACATACTTGGTACAAGTAAAGTAGTAAATGTGTCGTAATTGTGTTGCTTCTAGAGTAAAATACTTAACTCACAGGATTAATTAGCTTCTAACGTTTGATTACAACAGTGCTTATGCAAACCAAACAAGGTCTTGTATAACTAAAACTGTTGAATGGACTTGCTTAAACTTTATGGTTTTATTTTTTTCAACGATTTCAATAAATTAAAAGGAACTAGCGGTGGCTTACAAAATAAGTAGATGACTTTGGTTAAACGGATTACAACTAACACGCTAGAATTTATTTTTCTTTCAATCTACTGGATTTCCATGTTTCAACTAAGACACTAATTGCAATTACATGTCAAATACTTCAATAGAAGCACCAATATGGTCTATCGAATTATTGATCTGTTTGATAAGACTTTTACTTTTTGTAGAAAAATTTCTTGAAAAAGAGACATTGGACTATCTTTCTCTAAAAACTCTTTTAGTCAAACAAAATACTTACGGAATATTATTCATATGTGTTTAAAAGCAACTTTTGACTTTTCAAATGTCGTGTCAAACAGGTCCTACAAATATAATTCTAGTTTCTAGAAGAACATAGATGTTATTGCACTTGAAATGTATGTTTGATTAGGCATATTGGACTGTACTAGATAAGGAAGATAGAGAAAGCTCAAATCTTATTCATATTCATTATCAAATTCTACGTATTTGGTATCGAATACGGGATGAAATTTTTTATACTCCATGTTTGTTAATCGTTTTTAAAATCTCTATTTATTGCGTTCTATTCCTCCAAACATTTTTTTCTCAGTAATCTCTCTCATCTCTCTCTCTCTCTCTGAGTCTTTCTCTCTCTATCACAGACAATATTATAATCCATCTCATCTTATAATAGATTAGCCATTTTTAAGGTTTGAGTTTGATATAAAATTTTCGGACAGGAAGTACGTACAATAAGGAAATGGCCTCTGGCTTTAGCTCAGTCGATTTGCCTCCAGGTTTTCGATTTCATCCTACAGATGAAGAGCTTATAACTCATTATCTATCTCCAAAAGTACTTGATAGCAGCTTCTGCGCCACAGCCATTGGAGAAGTGGACTTGAATAAGGTTGAACCCTGGGATTTGCCATGTAAGTTTTAAACATCACCTGAGTGTTCTTGATCCTTTGATTTTCGTTAGTTTTAATTCTGAATCTTTGAAATTGAAGGGAAGGCGAAAATGGGTGAAAAAGAATGGTATTTCTTCTGTATAAGAGATAGGAAGTACCCAACTGGATTGAGGACAAACAGAGCCACTGATTCTGGTTATTGGAAGGCAACAGGCAAAGATAAAGAGATTTTCAAGGTGAAAATCCCAGTCGGGATGAAGAAAACTCTGGTTTTTTACAGAGGAAGAGCTCCCAGAGGAGAAAAGACTAATTGGGTCATGCACGAATACAGATTAGAAGGCAATAATTCTATCCCCACAAGTGCCAAGGTAATACAATCTTCCCCTGTTTTTCTCTGTTTCTGGTGTCGAATCACCTCGTCTAAAAGCTTTTTATTCCTGCAGAATGAATGGGTGATCTGCAGAGTTTTTAAGAAGAGTTCAGGAGGTAAGAAATTAAACATATTAGACCTAATCAGAAACAAAAATTGTGGGGAAAATTCGGAGTCCTCAGATTTGCCTCCATTAATGGATTTATCATCAGATAATAATCAGACAGGGTTCACAGTTGCAGAGGATTCACATGTGCCCTGCTTCTCCAATCAACTGGAGGAACCGAAACCTCAAAACAATATGATTAACGAATTCAGCAACGAAAATCTGCCATATTCGGATTCTGATTTGATGATGCAAGATCACTCCAT